TGGGTGGAGGATTTGGGTGAAAAATCCAGGGAAAGAAAGTCGGGTGCGAGCTCGCTACTCCTGTTCTGTGTATGGCACTGGTAGAATTCACTGTGCAACCCCGCGGTCAGTGAATTACCATAGGGCCATAAACAGAGCAGAGAAAGACCCGCGAGCCCCGCGGGGCCGTCGCCGACGCCGCCTGGCCCGTTTTGGCACTAGCACATTTTTGCTTTGATTTGTAGCTTTTGAGCAATTATGTGTAGTGCCAATATGGGAGAGGGCGGAGAGAGCAGCGCCGGGCCGGGGACGGAGGAGCATCAGGATTTCGGTGGGGGGATGCTGGGATGGAGTGGTGGAAACCCCTCAGGAATCGCTGGGGTGAAGGGAGGGGGTGTCCATCACACCGTGGTGACATTGAGGTGGTGTCCATCCCAACGTGGTGTCCCAGCCCACGGGGACCCCTCGGCCAGGCCGTGTCCTCACGGTGGCCATCACCACCAGGATGGACCCCGCACTTCTTGTCCCTCTTGACTCCTTGGGGCTGAGCCAAGCGTCCCCACGGAGGATCTGGAACTGCGTGTGGGCTTTTCTGGCCAGATGGGTGCAATCATATATTTTTTCCTATTTTTTGCAGCTTTCCAGGCCCGGCACCGTGGCCGCGTGTCCCTCGCTGTCCCCAGGCCGGGCCTGGCGGTGCCCGGCCCCGGGGCTGCCTTTGGCAATGGTAGAACTCACACTGGTGCGGTAGCAGGATCCGGTGGTTCTAGACTTGCCAACTACGGCCCCGGGGCACCGCAGCCAACACCAACCCCCGGTGTCCCCCTGGCACCCCCCGACCCTCCAGGGCTCTGCTGCTGGCCTGGGAGGGCCCCGGGCGGTCCGGGGAGGGTCCTGCTCCATCCGGTGCAGATTTGGGGGGATGCTGTGGGTGTCCTGAACACGTGCTATGGGGGGATGGCGATGCGGAGCCTCCCCCCGACCCCAGAGGGATCCCAGCCCGTGTCCACGGCAGGGGAGAACCGGGATCTGCGGGATACTGGTCATTGGAGCAGCGTGGCCACATGTCCCGGCGTGACTCCGGGTGTTGAGGACTGATCCAGCCCCGCGGTCCGAGCAGGACCCTGTGGGGATGGGATTAGGACACCAGTCCCTATCCCAGCTCCGGATCCAGCCCCCGCTCCAGATCCGATCCCGTGCAGGGAGGAAACTGAGGCATGGATGAAGAAGCTGCCACGTGTCCCCTGCCTGTGCCCAGGTGCAGGAGCAGGGGTGGTGCCAGCTTTTAGGGGACAGGGAACATTCTGGGAAGGGGCAGCTCTGGGCTGTGCTGGTGGTGGGGGGCTGTGCACAGCCCGGGCTCGGGGTGGCCTGGATGTGCTGGGATATGTAGGGCAGCACTGGGTGATTACAGAGCTTTCGGCATAAGCCCGCAGAGATTGGATCACGCTGGATTAGGCCGCACGCTCCAATCATCCTCCCTGCGCCGGGGGGCGGGGAGGGACGGACAGATAGACGGATGAGGGTCCCCATCACCCTCCTGGGACTTGTGGGAGGCGCAGGTGTCCTTGTGTCTGTCTGGTCGTTGATCCGTCTGCTCGTCCAGGTAACCAACACCCAACATCTGTCCATTCCTGCAGTCACGTCCATTGGTTGTACGGACACCCTGTCTGTCTGTCTGTCTGTCTGTCTGTCTGTCTGTCTGTCCAGGCGTGGAATCATCCATCCACCCTGCCGCCTTTCCATCCATCTGTCTGTCTATCCATCCATCATCCATCTATCCATGCATTCATCCATCCGTCCATCCATCCATCCATCCATCATCCATCATCCATCC